TTAGTGAGAGAATCTGGTCTTACAGAGTAGTAGGAATCTTCCTTACCAAAAATTGACCCTAAGTAAGTCACACATTGTTGTAATAGTCACATTTCTTTCAAAACTGTAGAGTAGCTACTAATACCTTAATTGCCTGAAGGACAATGCTATTCTTTTCAGTCCCTTCTCCTTTTATAAGCAATGATTATTCTAGTTTTGCATTGTTTATAATTGAAATCATAAGTTTTAGAGAATCTTTAAAGGCAGTTTTAAATTTCTTTGTGAATAATGAAATTTTGATGATTAAGCCACGATTAAACCAGTAATAACTTTCAGAAATAAGTAGTTTTAGGAATGATTTCTTAGGTTTCTAGATGTGAAGAAAATCACAAATTTGAAATCAATTTTCTCTTAATATTATCATTATTATTATATTTTATACATGTAGTACATTTTGCATTTCCTAATATAAAACAGTATTCCAAATGTAGAATTTTGTTTACAGAGGAAATAAAATTATAGATTGCTAATTTTTATTTCCTTTTTTCTAGGCTTTTTAGCTATCCTCTTCCAGGAGGATTGATTATACTTTATATCATTTTTAATGCCTTGATTCCTTCGAAGTACCAATTACTTAAATTAATATTGCTTGGAATTAAAGAATACTTTATCTTAACTGTCTTTAAATCAGTTAAGTGCTAACTGGTTTGGGGAAACAATATCAGCAATTTTGGCTCATTTATATTTGCAGTATATCTATCTCTAAAGTTTTACCCTCACAATAGGTGATAGCATACTTCTGTTTACACTGGTTCATATTCGAAATACAAATCTGCCTGAGTCATACTGGTTTGTTGAACATGAGGGAAAAAAATTTGAGAAAGAGAATGACTTTTTTTCTTTCTAATGGCAAATTAATCATTCAATGACTAAGGCTATGAAAGCAAAGAAAACTGAGGAAAGAATCTCCAATATTGACCAACATTCTTTCCTCATTTGTGAGGTAGATGTTTGTAAGGTGATTCACATTGACCTCAAGTACATACTTTTTCCTGTAGCATAGTAGAGTATCTTTTGAAATGGAAAGAATGATTCTCTATCCAAAATATTATCTTGTTGGGTATATCTCTATACTGACAAGATTCAGGCTCATAAATTAGATGTCTATGATAAGGGTGTATATATATATATGTGTGTGTGAGAGTGTGTGTGTGTATGTATTCATATATATATATAATTAATTTATTTTTGTGTCATCTAAACCATAATCTTCTGATTTTAGTGCGGTATAAAATCAGCAACATGTAACATAATGTAAGGAAATGCAGAGTAATGTCTAAGTTTCATTCAGTCGTAAGTTAATATGTTCCTTTAGGGTCCTCCTCTGCGCCCCACCCTTTGGTGTTGACACATGCAGTACATAGTCTCACTGATTGTTCTGTATTTATTCATTTTCTCCCAAAGCCTCTGTCATATTCACTTTCTTTCACATTATTTTGTCTGAATTACATCAGTGTTTGGTAATCACTTTCTTGAGAATTGTTTTATTTGTATTCTTTCTTTGTTGATACCTTAGAGGGGTCACAAATTCACACACAAACGGGATTCTCAGTCTTTCTGCTTCGTTTTTTTTTTTCTTGTTCTTTAGACATTTTGTTTGAAAATTTCTGAATTCTGCCAGAAATATTTTTTTCCAAAATAAGAGACCCAGATTATAGCATTAGAACTTTCCAAGTAAAATAAAAATCCTAATCTCGAAGGTCACCCCAGATCGATAGATATCTACATGAGGTTCTTAGAATAGAATGCAGGTCTGGCCTGTCATGGATATCTGAACATAGTCTAGGGAGTAACCAGAACACTGTTTTGCCAGTATTATAAGTAAATAAGGCGTTTTTATTTGGGGGTGTGTTTGTGTGTGTGCAGTTAATGTGTTTTGTGGATTTTTGTAAAAGTGATGAATTATAGAATTTTTGTCATTACATGTTAACATCTTTTAGGTATAGTATGCTTTTTAAAACAGGCTATCTGCATGCTAAATAAATAGACATGAAGTAGTAGTACCTTTAAACAGGGATCCCTAACCTACAGTGAGTTATATAATTATTATATATTACAATGTAATAAATAATAGAAATAAAGTACACAATAGAAGTGATGTGCTTGAATCATCCTGAAACCATCCCCCCTTCCCTGGTCTGTGGAAAAATTGTCTTCCATAAAAATGGTCCCTGGTGCCAAAAAGGTGGGGGACCACTGCTTTAAAAGGTTCTTTGTATGAGTTAGGGTATGATATACCCAATTTCAATTTATTGGTCTAATTCCAAAGAAGAAACAGAAACATATATATGAGATAGTACCAATATCATTTGGGATTTTTTTTTTAGATTTCACAGATTTAAAGGTGCTGCTCTTCCAACATAATCACCGTTTAGCATTTCTTGGATAAAATATGTATAGCTCACTACCAGTTTTAAAATGTGTAATCTGAAATCATTCCAAAATATTTTAAGACAGATTTGGTAGAGCTTCTATTTTGTACATAGCATGGAATTTGATGTAGGTTTTTAAATAATTTTAGAATTAGTTACAGATGATTTAAAGTTTGTAATTCTTTCTTGGGGGCAAAATATTTTAAATCTTAAGACAGACAAAGTACCACAGTGTTGACCACATGTTATTATGCAGTTAACATTGTTTCCAATCAAGTTATGGTGAACTACTGTTGCTAGATTTATTCTATTATGCAAGTTTCCATTTCAGAGTCTCTAATTTTGTAGTTTTATTAACTGTATTTGGTGAAGACATTTTGAATGTTCAAACTCGTAGGAATCTACTTCGTGGTACCTACTGAATATCAAATGCATATTTAGACTCTTCTAACATTTATAATATGATCCACTTAATAATTAACTTGTTATTTTTCCTTTAATGAAAAAATAATGTGAAACTATAAATACATTGTGATCCATGGTCCTAACTCTGCCTGGGCATGTCTGTTACCCATAGGGGAAAAATATATATGAAGGAAACACATATATGAAGGAAATACAACTAAGTGTTAATAGAGGTTGGGTGCAGTGACTCACACCTGTCCCAGCACTTTGGGAAGCCAAGATAGGAGGATCATTTGAGGCCAGCAGTCTGAGGATGCAGTGAGATATATGATCACACACTGCACTCCAGCCTGGGCGACACGGTGAGACCCTGTCTCAAAAAAAAATATTACTTATTATAAGAGGTGGCAGAGAGAAAGGTGAATTATGACTGGTTTTGATATTTTCTTCTTTATATATTATACTTTCTAAATTATCTGTAGTGACTGTAATGAGGTATTAGGTACTATTTTAAAAATAAATAAATGTTCTCAATTTGTTTTAAAATAACTGAGCTACTTAAAAAGAAGTCTGTACTATTCTGTCTGTACTGACAAGCACTAGTAGAATGTAAAGTCCAAACTATAAGTGATAGGAACATAGTTTCCATCAAATTGCTAACATAATAAATGTTTACATTCTAATAATGAGTGGACTTTTAAAAATTATTTCAAAAAATACTTTCCCATAACTATAATAAAAAGATGATTTTATCTCGGAAATTTATACTAATAAATTAATTTGAGATAAGTTAGTAAAAGATAAAAGTATAAAAGGTATTTTGCTTTTAGTCCTGAAATTTATGAATGCTAATTTTTTATCAAGTACATTTTATTTAAAAGTAGCTCATAAGTCATCCAGGAAACATATCAAATGCATGCTGGGTCTTACCACCACCAATTCTGATCAAGTAGGTCTGAAGTAGAACCTAGGAACCTCTGTTTCAAATAAGCACCCCACATGATTCTGATGCAGGTGGCTCAATAGACCATAGTAAGATTGTTTATTCTTTTCCTTCCTCATTCAAGATCTGTGGTCATTTTCAGTCCATAGAAAAATTATTGCACTTTCCTAGTTTAATCCATTTTCTGTATTCTCCAAGGTATGGTACATACATCCCCAACAGTTAAACAATACAATTCACTAGGGTAACAGAAGAGGAAGTAGTAACTTCTATTTATATTTTTATCTCATTTCTTTAATTTCTATTCATATGTGTTTTATAATATACATAATTATTGACATATGTTATAATAAATACAAACATTTTTAAAAGATAACTTTTAAGTAACTTACGAATTGTTTAGCTACTTTGGGATACTATATTTACTCTTTTCTTTTCTTTTATTTATTTTTTTAGAGACAGGGTCTCACTCTGTTGCCCAGACTAGAGTGTCGTGGTGCTTTTTAATGATGTAGTATTAATCCTAAATGTTAAATGTTTTTCACTTCAAATATAAACAGGGAGGGCATGGTGGCTTACCCCTGTAATTGCAACACTTTTGGATGCCAAGATGGGAGTATCACTGGAGGCCAGGAGTTCAAGACCAGCCTGGGCAACATGGCCAAATCCCATATCTACAAAAAATAAAAAATTAGCTGGCCTAGCACTCTGAGATGCCGAGGCAGGTGGATCGTTTGAGCTCAGGAGTTTGAGACCAACCTGAACAAGAAAGAGACCCCGTCTTTATTTAAAAGAAAAATAGAAAGAAATTAGCTGGACAACTAAAAATATATATAGAAAAAAATAGCCAGGCATAGTGACGCATGCCTGTAGTCCCAGTTGCTCAGGAGGCTGAGACAGAAGGATTGCTTGAGTCCAGGAGTTTGAGGTTGCTGTGAGCTAGGCTGACTCCATGGCACTCTAGCCCGGGCAACAGAGTGAGACTTTGTCTCAAAAAAAAAAAAAAAAAATAGCTGGGTGTGGTGGTGTATGCCTGTAGTCCTAGCTACTGAGGAGGCTAAGGCAGGAGGATCACTTGAGCATAGGAGTTTGAGGCTGCAATGAGCTGTGATCACCTGGGCAACAGAGTGAGACCCTCGACTCAAAAAAAATATGTAAACAATAGACTATTTACTATCAAGTGGCAATTAACTGTATATGTGTTTGTGTGCTTCCCTGCTCTCTTTTGTTCCTTTTATCAGGTGATGCTTTTCCTTGGACTATCAGCTTGCATCATTTCAGCATATATACACTTCTTGGAAAACAAGTGACACTTTGCCTAGTGGAACCTATGGGTTGTACCTCTACTCTAGCTGTCACATCTCAGAAGCTACTTGCTACAGGACCTGATACACGACATTCATTTGTTGTCTGTCTCCATGTTGACCTAGAGTCACTAGAGATGAAATGCTCTAATCCCCAGGTTGGTACATTTGATTTATGAAAGGAAATTTAAAGTAATGTGATTTTAAAACAATTGCTATTCATTTTATTGAAGGGTCTCTATTAAGTATCCTAAATTATTTTTAACTGGGCCATCAAGATCAGGGTGGTTAGATTAAGAATTGCTTTGAAGCTCTCTCAAGTTTTGTAATTTAAACTCTTTTGAAAATGTAATGGTTGCAGCACAAATGCATCTTTTGGCTGATGGAATGAAATCAGTTACAGATGTAATATTTTTAAACACTGAAGAATTATTTTACTGTTATACTGGATGAGTCTGTTGAACTGATCAAATGTGATTTTCAATCAGATTCTCACTCAAAACTTCACTCATGCAATATTTTTGAAAAGAAAAAAATAGCACTGTTTACTATTAAAAAAGACATTTTAGTAATCCCATGAGATTTCAGTTGTCGTAGGCCAACCATGTTATATCTTGCAATTTTATAATTTCATATGAATTCACATAAACAGGATTTGCACACATGATTAATTGCATACAACTTATACTTGTTTCTTTAACCTCAAGTAGACTGTACTGTATTTTCTACATATTATGCATATCGAATATTATTTGAAGTTATATTTTAAAATAATCCTTTTTAGAATATTATTGGATCTTATATATCAATATCAGTAAATCTATGTTTATCCCAACATTAACTGTAAGCCAGTTTTTAAAAGATGTTTTTTTGAAAGTACATTCGAGTTAGTTGGGTACAGTCCCAGCTGCTCAAGAGGCTGAGGCAGGAAGATCACTTGAGCCCAGGAATTTGAGGCTGTAGTATGCTATGGTCATGCCTGTGAATAGCCACTGCACTCTAGCCTGAGCTGTTGCTATAGTGAGATACTATCTCTCAAAAAACAGTTAGATTCAAGTTTGTTTTTATAAAGTAGATTCAAGTGTCATTCAATATTTTATAGAGTACCTTATTAAGCCTATCCTTCTCCTTTCTTCTCTCCTCCCTGCCTCTCTTCCCCTACCATAAACAGATTAGTATGACTTTTTTAATGCATTTGTACACTTTGAAAAGATTGAATCTGCTAATATATTGATGAAAGCCTTATAAATATGCATGTAATTACAATTATGACAAGGCAGTTATATTAAAAGAACACTATCGTAAAAATGTAAGAGCTCATCCTCCGTTATAAAAGTCATTTCCTTTTGAATCAGTAGTAAATGCTTTTGAATGATACTAAACATTCCAGTATAATGACCATTTGCCTTTCTGTTATAACCAGTAGTGATATAGAAGAGAATATTTATGAAATGACTTACCCTCTCTGAGATTACTCTTTGAATGCTGCTGCTAATGGTTGCTTTAAATATGTTTGAAAGAGGAGGGGAAGCTGTTATGCATTGAATTGTGTTCTCGCAAAAAGATAATGTTAAAGTCATAACCCCCTGTATCTCAGAATATGACCTTATTTGGTAATAGGTTTGTTACAGAAGAAATCAAGTTAAAATGAGGTAATTAGGGTGAACCGTAATCCTGTGTGACCAGTATCCTTATAAATGGGGAAATTTAGGCATAGACACATATAGAGGAAAGGTGATGTGAAGACATACAGGGAAAGTGCCGCTTAACATGGAAGCGGAGATTGAAGTGATGAAGCTGAAAGCTAAGGAACACCAAAGATTGCCAACCACCTCCACAAGCTAGAAAGAGAGCCCAGGAACAGTCTACTCAGTCTTAGTCTCAGAGGGTGCATGGCCCTGCTGATACCTTGATTTTGGACTTTAGCCTCTAGAAGTATGAGACAATAAATTTCTGTTGTTTTAAGCCACTCATTTTATGGTGCTTTGTTATGGCAACTCTACCAAATAGAATATAGAGGAACAGATTCAACTTCTTTAGATCCTTTATCACAGAATCTGTTAAAAAGGAAAGCATAGGAGATCTATTCCTAGCATGTCAACATAAACCCCCTCAGCCCACTTTTCCCACTGATTATTCCTTTATACTCTGGGAACAATGTAAAAACTAACAATTAACTACCACATAAATGAATGTCCCAACTATTTTAAAATGATTGAATTGCAAAAAGACTTTAAGGCAGTTACTGTAATTTTTTTAAATCTTGAAAGCAGTTATAGGAAAAGACACCTTCCATGTAAGTAAGCAGTGATTTGAATGAGTGTAGATTTCTCATTAAAAGCCATAGGAGACAGAAGATATTAGAACACTATCTTTAAAGTGCTAAATGAAAGAACTGTTTTAACCCAGTGAAGATACACCACAGAAATGAAAGTGAAATAAACACATTTTTAGATAAAGGAAACTAAAAATTTATCACCAGCTGCCCTGTTCTACAAGAAATGCTAAAGGAAGTCATTCAGGGTGAAGGAAAATGATACCAGATGAAAACTTGGATCTTCAGGAATGAAAGAAAACCAACAGAAATGGTAAATAGCTGGGTAAATATTTTTTGGAAAAACTATTAAAAATATGTATGACTATTGCAAAAAGCATGACATTGTCTACTGGGTGTTTTTCAGTGCATGTAGATGTAATATATAAGACATAAAAGATATACAAGGCAACTGTAAGATTAAGGAAGATGAGGAAAAGAGCCAAGTTTTTAAATGTCATGTAACAACATGAACTCTTAAGTAGACTGTGAAAATTTTGGTATGTATATTATAATCTTTTAGAACAACCCACTAAGCAAATGCAAAAATGTAAAGGGATAGAGCCAAGAAGCCAATAGATGAATTAAAATTAAATACTAAAAAATATTCAAATAAGCCAAAGAAATCAGCAAAAAAACCCCAGAGAAACAAAAGATAGAGGGTAGAAACAGAATACAAAAAATAAAATGGTAGCGCTAAGCCAACTGTATCAATGATTATATTAAATGTTAATTGTCTCAAGTAGGAATTAGCAAATTAATGCCTACAGACAAATTTGGCCACACTCATTTTTTTCATGTTGCAATCAGGTACAGCTGCAGAATTGAGTAGCAATAACAGAACTTAGAGTGTGCATGGTGGCTCACGTGGTAATCCTAGCACTCTGGGAGGCTGAGACAAGAAGATTGCTTGAAGCCAGGAGTTGGAGAGCAATAACAGAACAATGTACCTCAAAGCCTAGGGGTGGGACAAAGTTTGCAAACTCCTGGCTTAAACATTGCAATTAAAAGGCAAAGATTTATACAGTGGGGGGAAAAAGCAAGACTCTAGTATATACTGCCTAAAAGTGAAACACATGAAATATAAAGAAATAGACTGTAAGTAGATGCATAGGAAAAGATACACCATACAAATAGCATAAGAAGACTGGACACATTTTAGTGTCAGATAAAATAGTATTACCTGGGATAAAGAGTGACATGAAACAAAAATTGACAGAATAAAGGGGAAAAATAGATAATTCTACAACCTTGGTAGGAAATTTTTACAATACCTCTCTTAGCGATGGATAAAAAAAGTAGATAAATGAGTAAGTGGAGATATAGAAGAAATGAAAAATACTATGAACTCACCTTGATCTAATTGATATTTCTCAAACAGTATATCCAACAACTGTGCACTGCACCTTTTTTCAAGTATATAATACATGGTCTCATGTTTAAGAGGACCAAAATCATATAAAAGTATATTATTTGGCCAGTCAAATTAAATTAGAAATTAATAATAATAAAAATCTTGAAGAGAAACTTCAAACACCTGGACCTTAGCATGTTTCTAAATAATTCATGGGATAAAGAGGAAATCACTTGTGAAATTGGAAAATATTTTTATTGAATGATAATGAAAAAAAAAGTGGATATAGCTTATGGCAGTGTTTAAAGGGAAACCTATCTTTAAATATTTATGTTAGTGTTACCAAAAGTTCAGCACTTGTCCAGACGGCTGCATTAAAAGAACAAGGACAAGTGGTTGAGGAAAAGGAAAGAGAGATTTATTAATTTGCCAGCAAATGAGAAAAATGGCATATTCCCATCTTAAAGTACCAATTCCTAATCATAAGCAGAAATATAGCGCTTTAAAAGGGAAGATTTTCAGCTCTAGGCTATTGTTTTTCAAGTACAGTTGAAGATTCTGATCATACCATCTCCAGGGAAGACAACTCCATGACCTGTAACCAGGATCTTCCATAGAACCACATCCTGTCCTATAGCGCAAAGAACAAAGGATACTCCCCTCCCTCTCCCGACCACTGGCTTGAGGCAGGGATGCAGGTTTTAGTTCTCCAAAAGGAATGGGGGAGGTTTCAAAGAGACCGAAAACATTTTTTCCATTTTTCCAGGCCATTCTCTCTGTTAAATTAGAAAGGAAGAAAGATCATGACAGATTGACCTGAATTTTAATGATAAAACTTGAGACTCCATATAAACGTCTTTCTTATGAGTGGTTGCTTTAGCTTATGCTTCCAGACTCTCTCTGAAGTCTTTCAAAATTCCAGAGGACAGCTTGATTGCTTCTCCCCATCCCCCAAATGAATTAAGCAAATTACTGAGTCTTACGTGTAAGGCAGACATAAGGGAAACAAAGATGAATAAGACAAACATGTGAAGAAGGCCATGTCTACATACGTCATAATCCAACTGTTGAAATCCATAGATAAAGAGCAAATCTTGAAAATGTTATCAGAAAATGCATGTATGACACATTACAGGAGAACCAAGATTTCATTAAGAGTTTAATTCTCATAAGAAACCATGGAGGCCAGAAGAACATCTTTAAATTATGAAAATAAAAAATAAAGCTACTCAATCTAGAAGTCTAAATCAAGCACAAATAACCTTTGTACATGAAAACTAAAGAAAAATATTTTCAGATAAAAGAATATCACCAGTAGAACTGTATTACATGAAGTGCTAAAAAATGTTCTTCTTGCTGAAGGGAAATGACACCAGATTGTTGAACATTTCTTCAAATGTTTATTGGCCATTGAGTTGTCTCTTGTGTGAATTGACAATTTATATTGTTTACATTAATTTGTATTTTCTTGATTAATAAGGTTGAGCATT